AAATATCTCATTTTATTTTTTTAATCCAAACTGTCGTTTAACGGCCCAGGGCGCATTTACGGCAGAATCTCGTCCCTCAAATAAGGACACGTGAGCTTTGATTATAACCGGATATATTGCACTGGGTCAGGGAGATACAAACTGTCCATGTATCATTTGTACCTGTACTTCGAACATTCGCAAGTTTTCCTAGGTGGTGCGAGACAGCTTTGTTCGTAACCGGAGGAACTCAGTTTAATTCAATGAAGCAAACAACTTTTAAAATTAATTAAAAACAAGCAAATAATTTCCATGAAAAATCACAGAGAGAGGTAACTTGATACATTAACAACTCTTTTGACCTATTAGTTTTGTGCTGACCTCTTCTCTGCATCTTGATGTTTTGTTTTCCTTGTCATAATACATACTGATTGATGACTTTGTTTTGATTTTGAGTTGTTTAGCCTACAACTCGGCCACGACCTTTGCTTTTACCGTGAAACAAGGGGACGTTTATGTCAATTTGACGGACATTCCATTTTTTAAAAACTAACGAAGCACACTGTCTATCATCCCCATTTTTTGATTTGCTGATTTCTATTCTGAAAAATTCGACCGACACTGATTCACTATGTGGTACATGGCTCGCACTTGCAAAATACGCTGTGATCGTACGTCGTTTCATGACTACCGACTAGTTTCGTTCATAACAAATATGCCGGATAACGTAATACGCATGTGCAGTGTTGAATTGTGGGAAAAACTGCGCCACCAAGAGCTGACAAGCTGTACAGTCTGTTTTATATTACGGAAAGTTTAGTCGCCGACCAGATTATTCTTAGTTCGCCAATTGGCGACCTACATATTTTTTTGAATCGCCATTCATTTAATTTAATCGCCATGGCGACCAAAATGGTCGCAATCTGGAGGGCTGCATCGTGCAGACCTTTTTATTAGATTTACAATAAAAATCTGATTTATTTGTAGGAGTATCTTTCAGAGACTACATATTAAATGTTTGTAGTAGAAAATCAAAATAATCATTTAGGATATCATGAGTGAGCCTGGTTGCTAAAAAAGTCAAGTTGTTATTAAAGGTACATCAAGGTTTACTCAGATTTATGAATGCAGTTTCTTGAGCATGTATGAGACATAGTTTGGTTGCACTTGTGTACTCTGAGATTTTGGACATGGATCAATGGAAGTTTTCAGTTATCAGTACAATACTAGATTAAGGGAAATCACTTTATGTTGAGTTGTACCCACATACAGTACATATTAATTCAACTGTTTGCAGATGTTCTATGTATTATTTGAGCATGAGTATTTTATAATTAAATGACGGGGACTATGACATTCATGTCTTGTTTAATTAAACTCCAATTAAAACTTGGACATTATGGCTCCCTGGTGGTTGTCATATTGTTTTTCAGATCGGATTTAAAATGGCTGACTGGTGACCATTTTGTTTTAATGAACGCATTTCTTGAGCCATATCTCTGACATGCTTTGACTGATTATGTTTAAATTTTATATATTCATTATACATCATGTTATAGATAAACAGATGTAGTAATAATAACAACCTTTATTGATATCGTATCCCTTCTGGGATCTAGATTAGAATACAATAAGGATATAAGGAACAATAAAATACATAAGTAATAATAATAATA